ATAAAAAAATTAGGTTGTACAATAAATAAATTAACAATACAATTCAGCCTAATTGAAAATATAATTTATTGTGATTTAAATAGGTAAGTTGGGAATTTCAATCTTGAAGTGGTTGAAAAATTGCAATATTTTATGGATATGGCAGAGCTTGCAAACGTTATAATAACATTATGATTATTGATTATAACGTTTTATTTATTACAAAAAACGATACATGTTTGTAAACGTAATTATAACGGAATGCGATAATCAAAAATAATTAAATACAGCATAACAAAACATATAAAACGGTTTTAAATTCTTAAACTACATAGCGCTAGCGTTTTAACTTTCAAAACGGTTTGAGTATAAACCGTTTTAACGCCATCATATAAACCTAGTAATTTACTAGGTTAAAAAATAAATAATAAATAATTTATATATTTTAATAATTTTATATTAGTTTAATATTAGTCTTTAGATCTTCTGAGGCCCTTCGATATATTATGGGGCCCGAGGCCTGTGTGTGGTACACACTCTGCACACCCGGTTTTTACGGCACTGTACAAAACGCAATATAGGTACACCCCAACACATACACAAAAAACAATAATTGTAAAATCGCAATACGCATTGGTCGCGTTCCGTTCTGAATCTAAAAATCTTATAGGTACCTACAAAAGTATAAAGCGAGTATATATATTATATATACGACAGTATAGTAATATAATGCAGATCGAAATTATAAATCCTCGTTAAAATATTATAATACAATCATTATAGTGTACCTCTGCGTAAGTATATACAGTTAGAGTCGGTATACCAATAATAGTCGTAATAATGGCATTTGGAAAAATTAACGGGCCCGAAATCCAGCTGATGCCGGCCGTCGATTAATATAATAATATGCTGGCTACTAATAAACGATGTTTGTTTAAAATCATCGTCGACGGCCCAGGAATAAATACCGAAATCGGCACATTTGCAACTCTGAGCTCATCTGAGTATATAATCTGACCTAACCTTACGCGGACAAAAAAAAAACCTGAACGAAAAAATGGCTGCATCGCATATCGAAGAAAAGGAAATGGAAACAACTATCATGCAAATCTTGGGAAAAATAATAAGCAACGTCGAGTACGAGATTATGGAAGAAGAACTTAAACGAATAGACGACATCGACCAAGAGCCTACCATCGGAGACCTGGAAGGACTTTTATCGTATGCGACGGGCTTCGCGGGGGACGACTACGTCCCGTCCAACGTCTTTCAACCGGTCGACAAATCTGACAAAATGGCAGAACCGGTTGAACCGATCGTTGAAGTGGTCGCGCCTCCGGTGCAGGAAGCCGCGAAAAAGGAGCTGGATGGCGAGGCGGTGGGCGCCACACCGGCCAGAGGACTGGAAGTCAGAAATAGTATCGGGATCTTGATTGGTTGGCTGGACCCGGGGGTCAAGGCAGAAACACGCGCAGCTCCGCGCAGTGCAACGGCGAGACTGGTGTCCTCTGCGTGGAGAGGCCTGACGAGAGCCGCACGCGTGTTGCGCTGTTGTTGTCCCCCGAAGTGAAACCGTCCAAAAGTTTCCCCCCTGGCCGAGGGCAGCGGACAAGACGAGGCGACGTGTGGGGTTTCGAGGTAATAAGTACGCGGCAGTGCACATTCAGGTAGTGACCGGCGGTAAGTCGCCGATACACGTTCTCCGGCCATCCTGCGGCAGCGCGACGGGATCGCGGACGTTGCGAGCTCGAGGTCGCCGAGACACGCGAGACCCTCTGGCGGCGCGGCGGGCGCCCGGCTGCTTCGGTCCGGGAGCGACGACGACACGACGACGACGGAGGTTAGCGGTACCGGAGCGGACAACGACGCCGTCCCCGACACGGTACCTGCTCAGTGACGAACGCTGCAGTGCTGCGCGACTCGCGTGACGGCGGCGACGGAGACCTCAGAGCTCACGGCGGGTGAGTGACGGATGACTATGATTACAGGGTATAGCTAGGAACGCCACGGACGTCAGCAGCGCCGGGCTCGAGGAAACGAAACGTTTCGTCGGGTTCGACGGTGCGCGGCTCCGTGGCCATCGGCTGCGGCAGACGGAGACGCCAGGCCGCCAGGGCGAAAATCACGGAGACTATCAGGACAGCGGCGAGTCGTCGAGGAAGCTGTCTGCAGATTTTCTCCCTTTTTCGCCCAGTGGTCCGATCCCGAGTCGCAACGCCGCCGATTCCGCAGCTGCACCGAGATCTTAGTCGCCAGCTCGCCTCTCCGAGCTTTGCAGATCACCGTCGTTGCCGGCACAACCAGTCGTCTTCAGCACCCGCAGTACCGTCAAGCAGCGCACGACATCGCGCACTAGCCTCTCGTCGCCAATCGTCGTCGCTCTCGCAGCCGTCGTGGCCGGGCTTCGTCCGCTGCCATGGTCGTCTTGGCAGTCTCGAGCAAACTCGCCCGCGACTCTCGTCCGCCCCACAGGACAGCCCGTGAGAACGTTGTAGAGGTGACCAGTGGCCATATACCAGTTACCAATACATCATCAGCACCACCAACTCGCCACCACGTACCCCCCCACATCGCGTCGTCTTGACCGATGCCTTTTTTTTTTGTATTTAAATTTTCTTTACTTATATCGAATAATATTCACTTTACAAATTTCGGCTTTTTCTTTTTTGTTCTAACTTTTTTTTGAACATACAAAATTGTATAATAATATAACGGCAACCGTTTCCAAAATTGTTTCCGTTTTTGAAATTATATTCAAAATTAAAAAATGTTATATTGTTTTTGTTCGATAATTAAAAATAAATTTGTGAACACAAAAAACTATTGTTGCTTTTTTCGTATTGTCGAGTGTGTAAGTCAATTTTTACAATATAATAAAATATTGACTTTAGTTGTAATAATATTCTAAACTGAACAAATCTTGTAACAGATATCTATTACTGTACTCAGTGCCGTAACTAGGCTACTTGAGGCCTGTGTGCAAAACCAAAATATTGAGGCCCCTTATTATCTTTTTCAATACACACCTCAAAAACTTTTTTTGCAATTTTTAAAGTCAGCAGACAAAAATTCGGGCTTAAACAAAAAAATGTTTAATTTAAAATAATCTATAATTTTCAAACAATTTTTCAAGGCTATAACTAACTCAAAAAAGTAAAAATTGTCCAAAATGTAATTTATTGAAAATATTAATATAAATATTTGGTGAAAACTTCAATGGTCTACGGTTATTAGTTTTCGAGTTACACCAAAAAATAAAATTTTTAGTTTTAGGTAAAAATGACAATTTTTTTTTTTTTATTGACACTTTTTAATATCTAAAACTAAAAATTTCGGTTTCGATATCCAAAAAGTACCAACTAGATTCACTTTTCTAACAGAAAAAATGCTGATCTCGAAATTCGGAATATTTTTACTACCCATTGTTGATGACCGACAGAAATGAAAAAAATTATACACATCTTGTAAAATCAATACATTTGTTCGTTCCTCTCAATTGGTTTGAAACATTGGTTTCGTTTCCAAATCAATAATAAATAATTTATATATTTTAATAATTTTATATTAGTTTAATATTAGTATTTGGATCTTTTGAGGCCCTTCGATATATTATGAGGCCCGAGGCTTGTGTGCGGTGCACACTTTGCACACCCGGTTTTTACGGCACTGGCTGCAACGCATTATGTTATATGCATATTCGTCGTCTCCGTCAAGATAACATACTATGTGTATAGTGTATGGTATAATATATAAACCTATTTATACTGTACGAGGAGCATGGTAAATACTATTATTCTATTCAGTGGTATATATACTATATACGCGTGTTGTGGTACCCAAACCCAACGAGTTAGAGACGCTGTTTCCCCCTCCCCCTCCTCCCCCCGTAAATACACCACTTCCTTGGAGCCGATTGCCCGATTGACCCGGCTCTTTCGATCTATGGTCTCAATTGAGTGAGTCATTAACACGATTTAAGATCTTAAATCGTGGTCAACACTCAACAAGCAGTTCTCCCTATATTTGGTGAATTGATTATTGGGACAATTACAATTATGTATAAATAGTATTGGGACAATGTTCATTTGGATCTATGGACGTATAAAGAAAAAAAATTTGTACAAACCAGGAATGTATTACTGCTGCCAAAAAATTATTGTCCCAGTAAAGAATTGTCCAAAATGTTCGGTGTATCTGTCGTATTATTTCATAATATCATAGAACAATAATATTATAATATAATATTATTATTTATTCTGTGGTAGATGGTAGTACTATAATATTATTCGGAGCAATCACCACCACAGAATAGATGAAATGACACTACACTAGAAGTCACTACTGTTCACGCGCGTCTAACGCTAACGAAGGTTGGCTGCACCGGTCATCATGCCGGGAAGACGCGACTGGCGTCGGGGCGCTACAAGCATACAGCTGCTGCAGTGTGAGCCGCGCTTAGTGCGCATTGTCAGTTCGCCAGTTGCCGCCGTCTGGATTCCTGCCTCCTCATTCCTCATACATCGCCCCCACCGGACACAACCAACAGTCCTACAAGTCACAACCGCCATAATTTTGTTTACTGTTCTGCGAATACCAACTGTAGCCACCCGCGTTCCGTACTCCCGTCGTGTTTCGAATAACTTCGAGAGCACCGCCGTCGTCTCTTCGTCGAGGTAAAGAGCACAGTCAGTCGTCAATTCATTTTCGCCGGCCGCCAATTGTCGCTAACCCCTACGACAACGACAATATTATTGTTGTCAATAATCAATCGTCCCGTTCACTACCCCGTTTGTGTGTGTATGTGTGTGTGTGTGTGTGATTTGTATACACCTATACATCTTTAAATCAATACTCGACGTATGCAAGAGGATCAGTATACGCGTCCAGCCGTCCAAAACCGTGAGTCTCCCCAGGTCGACCCCGTCGTTTTCAAGTCTCATTTGTCCCGTTGCGGATAAGCGTCGGCGCGCACTCTCGTCGTCTGTCTTCCGGTGATTGGTATATACTTTATGGTCGCGAATATGAAGCTGGTCGACAACGTCGTGCGCAGCTTCAAGGTGGCTAAGGTGTTCCGCGAGAACACGGACAAGATAAACAGCTTTGACTTCTCGCCTGCCGGCGATTACATCATATCATGCAGTGAAGACGACCAGATCGTCATTTACGATAGTCAGAAGGGTGAACTGTCCAAGACCATCAACAGCAAGAAGTATGGTGTTGATCTCATACATTTTGCGCACACTAAGACTACTGCCATACACAGTTCAACCAAAGTGGACGACACCATCAGGTATAATAATATGCCGGCCAGCTATTTACAGTCTGTGTCTTGCTTACTTAAGTTATATTTTTGACCAATTATTATGCTTTGATTGTATTAGGCAATGGACGATCGCTTGAGTGGTTGAATATTATAATTATTGGTCAACACCAATAGCGACTACGTCTCGTCCATAACTTTTTAACATAGAAAATAATTTGGTAGTTGTTTGCTGTATATAGAGGATTTCACTTTGATTACCTAGTACTTAAAAAGTATCACCTACATATTTAGTATGCAACCATGTATGTGCTGTTAAAGTAAACACTATTGTAAAAGCGTATACATTTTGAATAATAGAGATGTACCTATGCTTTATTAGCATGAATTCCTTAAATTAAATTACTGTTTCTATTGTAATCATTCAGACATTCAGTTACTGTTTTGATATCTATAATAACAAAAAGGACCGAAAATACCAGTATTAGGACTATCATAATTAGTAATCTTATAGCATATAGTTAATAAATAATAATACTGGTTCATATTAAAGTTCATATTAGGTATAATAATTCTTTATTTTTTATCAAGGTAGTTCAATCCAAAAGTTAAAGCATACTTAATAAATATGTTATAGGTAGCTTAGGTATTTTAAATCAAAGTATTGAATATAATGAGATATTAGTATACAATGCTGGTGGTTTGAGTTTGAGCCACCGGAACATTCAGACCCCCCGAGTGGGAGACCGGCGGTCTGTGATTGGTCGGCAGTGTTCTGCGATCAGCAGTGTTCGTCAAAGTAGGCAGCTGCTATTGGCAACAATCATCATTAGCACTCTAAAGACGGGCTGGCCTGCGCGGCCACGACCAGTTTTTGTCGAGCGAGTGGGTCAACTCTCATGGAATAGAGTATAGTTATTGTAGATATAATAGGTACAGTTTGTTTCTACCATAACGTCTTAATTCTCAATTCAAGCAAATATTTTTTTTTAATGTAAAATATTATAAATTATCTACAAAATAATATTATTACTCAATTAAAATTCTGTTTTTATTTAATTGTGACTAATGTAATATTACTTCAAATATTAATGTTATATTCAGTGTTCAAAATAATGTATTCATCTACATTACTTGTATTTAAAAAAAAAAAAACACTTGTTCGATTTCCTTAGATATTAACGTATTCATAATGGTCGTTAATTGTAATAAATTTTTATTTCATTGGTACCTATTCATTGGCCATTCATTACATACTCATAATAACATCTATGACTTCTATTTATAAAAATACTTGGTTAGAATTTTTTTTATACATTTTCTAAAAGCTAATAACTTTGTCTTTTAAAAAACAAGTTAAATATATTATTAGCCTAAATATTTTGAACTTTGGTTGTTTTAGCAAACACTTATACAAAGGGTATTTTCTATAAATTTTTTATTTATTATAATGGTTTTTTTAACCTTTCATGTCTTTTTTTTTTTATTTGTCTAATTATTCCTTTCAGCTTGTAATTCATTGATAGTTGACTGACTTAATAAATGAAAAATAGGGGGATGTTTGTCATAAATAATTAAGACCCAAGGATATCAGTTAGATAAGATTTAAAAAAAAAAAGACAAGCAAATATGAAAGGGAGTTGCATTTGACTTAAAATCATGTTGTAATTGACTGTATGTTCATCCCTGCTGTAATTACTTTGAAATTTAACAATATTTCAAATGAATTGAAATAATGTATTTTTTTAATTTTTAGATATTTATCATTGCATGATAATAAGTACATTCGCTATTTCACGGGTCATGCCAAAAAAGTTGTGTCATTATGTGTGTCCCCAATTGAGGACATGTTTGTTTCTGGATCATTGGACAAAAGTCTCAGATTATGGGATTTGAGGTCGCCAAATTGTCAAGGTTATATCAACGTTATGGGAAGACCAGTTGCAGCTTTTGATCCAGAAGGTTTAGTGTTGGCTGCTGGCATTAATTCTGAAACTCTCAAACTGTTTGACGTTAGGTAAATGTAATTTGTATTTATTTTCATTGAATAAAATTAATAACTACCTCTGACTAACACTTTAATTTTAGATCATTTGACAAAGGACCATTCATAACTGTGAAACTTCCTCAAGAGAAAGAATGTGACTGGACTGACCTCAAATTTAGTCAGGATGGCCGAACCATACTTATTCCTACTAATGGATCTTTAATTAGATTGATAAATGCATTTAATGGTACTCCGATTCAGACTTTTACTGGTCACCTGAATAATAAGGGCATTCCTATTGAAGCATCATTCAGTCCAGATTCTCAATACATATTCAGCGGGTCAACAGATGGTCGTATTCATGTATGGAACGCGGTTACTGGCTATAAAGTTTGTGTTCTCAATGGTGATCATCCAGGTCCAGTACATTGTGTTAAATTTAATCCTAAATACATGATGATGGCCTCCGCATGTACAAATATGGCGTTTTGGTTACCTACAGTTGATGAGGTAGCCAATTAGGCATAAGTCAAATATTAATTATTTGTGTGTGCAATGTGCATTAGACTTAAATTACCTAAGTACAATGTACTTATTTAAAGTTAAAACATTTTAATTATTGATTTTCCTATAATTTAAGTTAACTTATTAACTTTTATTCAATTATTTGAAAAGAATAAATCTATTTATTTTTTATTTGTAATCATTTTTAGTTATTGAGTAAATACTCATTGATGTAAAAGTCAGTTATCGTTTTGTTTTATTACTCTTTTGGAATGCTTTAATGCATTCGACAAATTTTGATTTTTATACTTCATTTAAGGTTATTTATTAATTAAGTTATGAAATGTTTAGAATCAATTGATGTTTATGAGTCCTGATCTTATATATTATATTATTATATGTGTGTTATATTTAAGATTAAGAGTTTTCTTGTAAATGTCTATTTCTTTCTAAATTACTGCTGAGCGTCACATTGTTACAACATAGGTATTACTTTTGATTATTGGTGATATTTTATTGAGCAAGGTCAAATTTAATAAAATAAAATATAAATGTATAATTTTAATCTCCTTGACAGATATCTTTTTAACTGATAATCTTGAAAAGAATTTGACAGGATTGTCAGTTAGCGGTTTGACATTCAGCAGTATTGGCAGTGTCTTAATACTTGCTATTTTCCAAATTGACATATTTTTTAAAACATAATGCTCATTGACATTTATGACCAGTCAGTACCCTAACTAATGGTGCTTTAAAACATTTACATATTTTAATTCAGACACATAATACCTACACTTAATTGAATCATTTTTAAATGTATTTTAAAAATCATAATTTGTTACGTTTTAAATAACTAAAAGTAAAATCGAATATTTATATGATTACCTATATATTCCAGTGTTTGACCAAAATCCATGATTAGCAAATGATTAAAGTTTTGAATAAATTACATATTTTATTTTAATAAATAAATAACTGTTAAATTTATGATTACTAAAGAGAATGTCACCACAATATTTGTTTTTTTTTCTCAGACACACGTGCAACATAGATAAAACGTATTCACGTAAAATTGTTTTTGTGATTATTAAGTCATCTTAGAATAAAGTCGCCTATTACAAAATTTATAGAAAATAATATATGTTTAAATGTTATTACTTGGATTTAAAAATAAAAAAAAAATTATAAATTTAAGTGAATATCAAATTGTTTTGAGACAGTATTTAGACAAATCAATATGTTATACTCTCAACAATATAATTTTTGTGATTGGTAATTTCATAAGATTATTCAAAAACATAAAATGTGTTATGTGTGAATACATTTTCTCAGAGAGAAAAAAGTAAAAATAGTCAGTGCACTAACGTCTAACATCCTCTTAAGTAATTTAGATGTAAAACAAATAAAATTTGAGTATGAAAAAAAAAGTAGTTTGTGATTAACACACTCTGGTCTAATTTTTTTTATTATTTATATGATATATTTTAAATTATTATATTATAACAACTCATAAAATAAGTAACATTTTAAATAAATATATAATTAATGAATTTCATGAATTTTAAATTATTAAGTACAAACTTTAATCATAGAGTTTGTTTTGTCCAACACTGCTTATGTCGTTTAAAATTGTAAATAATCTTTACACCATTCTAAATTGTATGTTGTATTTAATGTGTATTTTGTTAAGAAGACTCCACGTATCGATTTGTTACCTGTCAGAATCTTTTATACATCATTCTAAATTTAATTTTTGTAGACAACACTGAGGTTGTAGATTGGATGCTATTGAACCATCTACTTTTTATCTTATGTTAAACTATTGTGTATTAATTATAATAATACTTAACAGATAATACTCTCATCTATAAATTAAATCATAGGCCAGTTTATAACTATAATTTTAACTGTGTTGCCAATGCATTATACACGTCATAAATAACAAATTGATATGTGCTGTCCTCTGAAGTAATTAAAGTTACTATTATTTTAATGTACAACTACTATAATGTATTAGTTTATAACTATTCATCAAAGTTTAAGAGTTCAAAAATTATATTGACTGCAGAAATTGTTGAACATCAGCGTTGTAATAATTAACTTGTGTTAATATTATAATAATAGTTTAATACTTATGTTTTAATCGATATTTATTTTGTCAATTATTTATTTTAAAGATTTTACTGTATTTATTAATGCAAGAAAGGAAAATCTTCATGTTGAAAAACATTTTTTTTTAAATAAATTTTTATGGTATGTTGAATTTTAAATTCTGAATAGTTTATTAGTAGTAGTATAATCTATCATTTTTAGGCCTACATTTTTATACAGTACTTTAATTTTATAAGTTAAAATGAAATATGTATACCAGATAATATTACCTAATTATTTAAAGGTATGGATGTTTAAGTTAATAATTTTTGAAAATGTTTTTTTATTTATTTAAAACCAATATTCTTGGATGTTGTAATTTTCCATTAAATTAAATGAAATATTTTATACATTAAAAATATCATATCATGTTCTAATATAAATAAAAAAATAATTTTATGTTATACAAGCAAAAAAAAAATCATATTTGTTAAAGCTTATAAAAGTTGAAAAACGTAATAACTAATAACCATTTTCTTTGCTGTTCAAATTATTTTCAATGTTTTTATTTTAAAGTTTTCTTATGAATAGGCACTATTTTGATAACTCACTGTTATTCAAATGAATACAATATTATATGTAATCAGTTGATGTATAATTTTTCCAAATCTCCATTGGAACGTAATATTACTGGTCGTTTATTAATAATTAATATTTACCAAAAACATAACCAAAAATAATATACATACCTGTATCTTTCAAGTTCTATATAATTGTGAATTTTAGAATCTATAAATATCATTATATAAATTTAGACGATGTAAAGTAAAAATTAAACAATTAAACAGTATACAATAATTACATAATAATTTCTGCAATTTGTTTGTGTAACGTAAAATACTAAAATACAAAACCTATATAATCTAAGATAAGTTTTAAAAATGAGTATTGTTGAAATGTATTTATGGAAATATTATCACAATAAAAGAAAATGTATTATATTCTTTTTAATTATTTGTTTTCGCGAATGACTACTAAGATTTTGTTGACAAACTTGTCGAAAAGACTGATTAATCAACAGTGGCTTTTTTTGGACATATTATGCCAGTATGCCATATTGTGAAAAATTTTAGTTAGTTATTTTGCATGTACGTCAAGGAAAGACATCCCACACAGCTATTATATTTATATATTATTACTTCTAAAGCTATTAGTTCTAAAACTGAATTATCATACCTATATATTTAGTATTCTAGTTTGTCATGACTCATGGACCATGGTCGGACTAGGTGATTGCCTGGTATCCGTGGTCGCGTGGTTGGTGGACCGTTATGTCATCGACGTGTGATTGGCGGTTGCTGATTTGTATAGGCGGGGCCCGTATTGTTGCTTACGTAGGACAAATAAGGAAAGGCCATTGGTGCGGAGTTTAATTTATCCCGCCGAAATACCTTGTTTTCAAAAACAGTAAATATCGATTCAGCTATCAAATGTTCTTGATATTATGTATCAATCTATCGATTTTGCTGAGCTTATTTAAATGATAGAAATGCATTCATAAGTTTTAAACACGGCTGTCTACTAAGGTTGTAGCACGTCACGTTAACACATGTTGAAGCGACAGCAATAGTGCACTAAAAGCGCTTAAAGTTGTCGACCCGATTTTTACATGTAAAACATACAGCATATTGTAGTTTTGTACTTAAACATAAAAGCAATTAAGTTCATTAAACAATTATTTTAAGTAAATATATCGAATAATAAATTGTTTAATGATTCATCTTGGTTAAAATTATTTAATTAATTTTTATAACATAAGCATAAGGAAACATCTCATGAATGAAATGTGTTTTAAATGTTCCATTCTGAAAATAAATAATTTTAATTTTATAACATTTTTAACAGATTTTATCACGTTTTTACTATACATCTCAATATCCAGTTACAAATGCAATTATTTATTAAGTCTTGATTTTTTTTTGTTTAGGCTTTGACAACTGAGGTCATTAGCCTGTGGAACTGTAGGGTGGGGGTACTGAAGGTTTTTGAACACGTGTGTGTTTGTTTTGGCAGAATTTTTATGTGGGTACCCGTAGGTATCTGCCATCCCTGGGTTGTGGGATGGCGGCATATCTGCAGACGCCGTGACTGCCTGAAGAAAAATGCCGCCCGTGGCCGAATTCGAACCGGCGACAGTGCGCGTCGCAACCGACGCCCTTGTCCGCTCGGCCCCTCCATCCGCCCCCTCTTGGTTATTATTTAAATGAAAAAAAAATATATATATATATATTTATTTTATAATAAAAAGGTATACAAATTAATTTAATGTGACTGTTGATCTTGTCTGATTATTGATTAACAACCTATAATTGACAATAAGCAATAAGAAGATAAGAAATATATTTTTTATTTTTATTTATTTTTATTAGCTATTAGTATAACACTATTGTATTTATTTATATTTTATTTTAAATGTAATTTTGTCATCAATGAGTTCAAATATATTTTTATATTAGAATTGCAATTGTTTGTACTTATTTGGTAATATCTAATAGTTAATAAAATAAAATAAAAACTATGCTAATTGTATTTTATTGACGTTAAACGGCAATTTCAAAATATGCGTGAAAGTTAAGGTGAACTCTAATATTACAATTAAATTAAACAATTTTAACAGCTTTAAAACTTGAATAATAATAAACATTAAACAAGATGCAGCATTAAAAATATAGTTGTGTACAGATAATAAAAAAAACGCAAACACATGCAGAATTAACTATAGATGGCACTATTGACCCAACGGAGCATGCGGTTTAAAGGATGGTTGTGACCATATGAGGTGTAATGAATGAGTATGTATAAGAAAGGGTGTGTGATGCCCCGATAATAAGGGTAAATGGAACACGGAAATTAATAGAAGAAAGGAGGTCAGGGGCATTATTGATCCATCAAGTAGACCTTGAATAAAACTGGAATTAGCATCAATTCGTGGGGATGTTCAGCTTTAAAACTACAGATGAGTAGGTAGTCATGCTGCAGATGCTCGATTTTTAGTAAGAAAAAGATGAATGATGGTAACTTATTCTGGACTCTTTCTAGTCTTAACTGGTCTGTCGCTAAGTATGGGTGCCAAACTATCATACCATATTCTTAAGTTGGGCGCACTCGAGACAAGTAAAGGGTACTGAAGCAATGGACAGATCTAAACATTTTAGTATTACTAATTACTATGGCTTAAATATACAAGGTTATTGTAATAGTACCCCCCACTATATCATTTTATTTTTGTTCGATAATAATATTTGCTATGTGCAATAGCAATAACCTTGTATATTTAAACCATGAGTACCTATTACGCTTTATGAAACTCAGGACTTTTGTCTTTTAGTGCTTTGCAGACGGTAAGGTTTACTTATGCGTCTAACAAACGACGGAAACGTCCTATGCAAAAAAAAGGGTAATTTTCAGGAAACACAAAAAATGATTTGAATAAAAAAATCACATAGCAGTTATTTCATAAACCATTTATACTTGGTAACACAGATTATATCAATGTAGCTATTTTAATTCTGAATTCAGCCTCCAGGGATACCAAAACCTCAAAATCATAAATTTGGCACATAGGAGGTTTGTTCCCGTGTAAGACATTATTATATTGTGCTTTTTCACTCTGGATAAAATGTATACGTTTGTTATTTAACAGAGTAAACTGAATCTTTCAGGTTTTATTAAACTTTTAACTAGTGACCAATAGGTTCCACATGTTAAAATAAATTAGTGTTAGCTACCGGGAATCAACAATCAACAAAATATATAATAGCACCATCAATCTACTTTGGTTTAACATTACAACACATCCTTTTTTATTAACCAAATTTAGTTATCCAGGATACATACATTTTATTCAGAATAAAAAAGTTCTAAGCAAAGAAATAGATTAACAACTAAAAGGTTATTTTTTTGTTTTGAACGGAGATTTTCTATATTTTTATTTTTTAAATTTTTATTAGACTTAACACAGAATAATTTAGTTGATTTTTAGATATGAAAAAATCAATCATTATGAAAGAAAATATTTGTTTGATGTATTTCACTCATGTACAATTCAATATTTTTTGAGATAGTAACTTCTGACTTTGTACACAATAAAATAAATATATTGTGCTGCAGGTTAAATCGGGTCATGTTTACTACACGTAACATTATTGGCTTTTTTTTTAAGGGGCATAATATAACTTAATACTTATTTTATATTAGAACAATAGGAACATACTAATGATAGTTATTTACATAAAATAATATAAACAAAATTATAAAACAAATTTAATCGATATCAAAATAAATAACATAATAATAAGTTGAGTACATATGTATAAATATAGTATAAATGTATATACTTGTTTTAACAATAAGTTGCAAAAATAAAATAATAACTAAAATTAATAATCTTTGAAAAAAACAATAAAAATTGTGTTGGTTAATACATTTCTTATATTATTAGAACCTATTAGTGTTTTCTTAATATGATTCATTTTTGTTTAGTCTTATTCTTCGTGTTTTTATCCTCGCTAAATATGCAACAAAATTAGTTTTATTCGATCATGTAACTTATATATTATTTTTCTTACCTTGTATCAAATGTTACAGGGAGTAAATTATCCCTTCCTGCATTAAAATTACACAAATCTCTCAACACTTTGGTTAGCTTACTATCAGTTATAGAAGGTTTTTTAATCAGTTCTGGATCTTCAACAGCTCTTAAAATTAAATCTTCAATTGCTGGCCGCAAAGCGACAATTGCCGCAGCAACTTTAACATCCATATTCAAATATATCCTGTAACAAAAAATATGATTTCAAGACTTCATCACAATTTTTTATAGCATAGTTTTTAATTTCACTAACCAATCATCCAGTACAATCAAACCATCAATATAATCAACTTTCTGAGCACCAAACAATAAGATGTGTATAGGACTCACCATAGTTGAGTTCATACATAGTACACCTATCTAAAATTGCATTTAAAACAGTAATTAGTGTCAATTGTACCTACAAAATATTTTTTGAATCACAAATTAATAATTATTAATACATCAGCATTTTTAGAAAGTATTTTACTTCCAATGATGCAATTAAATGAAAATTAATAAGCCAATTAGATGGATAATTTTATGTATATAAACGGATATAGCCCATTTATCTCCCATTTTGCAAAATGGTAAATTTCCAAACGGCTCCTGTTGTACAAATACGTCAATTCCCATTTTTACAACAGAAATTCCTTTACACTTCAAACATACTTTTGACTGTCTCAAAAGAAGTGTAGTTAAATATTAGTGAAATGGTTTAATGTGATTTTTTTCAATTTTATATTATGCAAAATAAATTATAAAGATAAAATGTTGTCAAGAACTAGAGTCGTTTGGGAATTTACGCATTTGTGAAACCTTATAAAATTTGGGTTAAGGTTAATGATTAATTCCTTAGATTATGTATGTAGATACAAATTTTACTATCTTTTTTATCTTTACAGCTTACTTGTTGTTCAAATACAAAGAATGGCAACTGAAATTGAGTACCTGATCCCACTAAAGGACTATTTACAGAAGATTTACCAACAACAGCAAATTCCTTTGACTTTAAATTTACCTTAATAAAAAAAAAAATTTGTTATAAGCTATAAAGTAATTCAACAATACAAAATAAATAAACAAATATAATTAATTTTTATGAATATATTTTGTCTGCTTTAAAATATTTTAAAAATAGTTTCTTAAATGTACTTTTGTAAAATTTTTATAAGTTACAGATAAAATATTTATATTTTTCAACACTAACATTTAAACATATCAACTATCAAACATATTATGAGTATTATTGTATAGTTGAAATAATGTTTTTTCTTATTTTATAGAATAATATAAATTGATTGTAACTTGTTGACAATAAAAATATTGGTGATATTGAAGAGTACATGATAAAGCTTGATATTTAAAGAAAAATAAGTTTTCATGACTATATTATAATTCATTATTATTATATGGTTAAGATTACCTTACGCTTTTCCTTATGAACATAAATATTAGGATAAAATGCCATTACAAGGAGTGCTGAAACCATATCCAACTTTGGCTCATCAGAGATTCCAGTTTTACCAAAATCAAAATTTTCTGTTTCAAAACAACATTTAGGAAAACCAAACTTCAGAAACCTGTTTATTATTTGTTCCTAACAAAAAAATGAATATTATATTCTATTAATATTTTTACAAACAGAAATATTAAATTTAATTACTTTTATATTGTGTGTTGCTTTTAATACAGTAGTAGATACATTGTTGTCTCCAAAAGCATCGGTCGCCTTTGAATAATAACCATATGTTGAGTCCCACTGCATAAAAGCATTTAAAAAAGCCAACTGATCTGAACAACGGTTGCCAGAATAATAATGCTTAGCAGTGTTTTCGCCTTAACATATATTAAAATAGACTAGAGTAATATTGTTATTCTTAAATATGTCATGTGGTTTGACATACCATATTCACCCACGAATAAATCATAATTGGTTGAAGAACCAGCTGCTATAATACTCAATGATTCACCAAGCTTTAGTATATTACCCAAAATCATCATTCGTCCAAGCTGTGGTTCTACAGGTAACTCTGCCAAAATAAATCCAAGATTTGTGAGGTTACCATTCCCATCAAGACATTTCATTTCTGGAAAAATAACAATATAAATATCCTGAATAAAAAGATCTTTATTACATGATAAGGGAAGATTAAAAATGACAGAGGGGCACATGCTCTTAGGTGCAAGTTTTTTTAAAAATACATACAATTTTATGGTTTAAGCTATAATATATTTTATTAGGAGTAGTTTTTAACAGTAGTATGTAAGGCCATCAAAAATTGTTTAAATTATTATAGAATATTAGTAATATTATATTACAGTTATAATTATTTTGAATTTAAATTTAGATTATTCAATGTTTTTAGTCAACAAATTATTTTTATTTAATTATTTTAAAGGCAGGAAACCCAGGGGAAGAATGTTTAAATCTGCCCTTGTGTATGATCAAAAGAAGTTAAAATATTTTAAGTTAAATTTAGATATTTTGAGGTTTTAATCGGTTAAGCTCCCATCCATTGTTTGTAGTTTCCCAAATGGCTTAAGCAAGCTGAAGCACATCACCAAGGGGGGATTTTTTACGATATTTTAATTTTAGTGAGTTAATTAATTTCAGAATTAAAACCGATCTAGAGAACACAGATAATGTTCTTACCTAAAACATTGATAATAGGTCAATTGGAGGGTTGCAAATATATATATATATATATATTTGCATTATTTAAATATCTTTAATTTTGTTTTTATTGTAAGTGATATATTAAATACTGTAAGGTATTATGTTATATGTACAAAAATAAATTATTATTATTATTATATTATTATAATTCACTCTAATATCAAATAACAACATACTTTTGAAACTAGTGATTGAAAATTTGTAGATGTTACAAACTGTTCGAAAATCAAACTGGAAATTCCAAATAATCAAATCGAACTAAATACCTAACAGTTCAGTTAGATAATCAAACCAGAGAAATAAAAATAAAAGTCGGTGGACTAACTTCTAACATTCAGTTCGGTTTGATTAAAAATGTGTAGGTTCGGAGCTGTTTGAGTTCGTTAATTTAGAGAAAAGTTCGGATCAACTTTAAATATTATGGTTCTTAACATCTCTAAAAATATGGTATGTCGTACATGTGTAAGGTGGAAACAACATATTATGTGGGTATAATATCCTCTTAAAAATAAATCACTTTTTAAAATAGAAAGTATTAAATCTCTAAGTTTTAAAAATCTGACTCATTTAGACCGCACATCGAAGAAATAGTAAACAAAACAAATTTAACAAACAAATGTTTAACATGTACATGTTAATGTACAAAAAAGCTATTATGAAATCATTTTTTGAATATATAATTATCCAATGTTTAAAATTGAAAGTCCAAGTTCACAATATAAATTAATTTAATTAAACATAAAATAAACTTAACTAGGCATAACTATAAAATCAATAAAACAATTATTCAACTAAAATACATAAGACTACCTAGTTTCTACTAAATTATAGTAATTCTAACAAGTTGATATTTTTATGTTGATTGTTCTTATACTTAAAATTTTGAGTGAAGCAAGGAATCAAAATAATGTGTTTTGTATAAAAGTTTCTATTCTTATTAAATAATTTACATATTTACCTTTAAGTGTATCAATAACATTATATACAGATTGAGCAGGCGGTGGATCAATAGCTTTTTTCAAAAATGTATAAATATCACCCAAATTTAATAATTTGATAGTTAACCCAATTTTATTCAAAGAACAATGATTTAGTTCTGGCGATATGTTATCATCCATTTTTTTGAATCGTTCCTAAAACATAAATAAATAATTTTACATAATGCCCCATACAAAATTATACTACTTCTCAATTTCCATTTGATGTTAACTAATCATTTGAAATTCAAACCAATATCCCAAGTAAATAAACCTTTGTTACCTTTGTATATAAACTAAAACAGTAACCCTCTTGAACACGACCAGCACGTCCTCTTCTTTGTACCACATTTACTTTGGATGCCCAAACTGTGTCAAATATAGTTACATTATTAGTACACCTAACTATCTTAGATTTTCCATAATCAATAACAAACACAACATCATCTATAGTAATTGAAGTTTCAGCAATATTTGTAGACAAAATAACCTGGAACACATAACCTAGTCATTAATGTGTATTATTCAAAATCTAATCAAATTCAAGTACTCAAATATAAATAAAAGTATAAAATTAAAATTAGGTTTAATGATTATAATTGATGAGTGTTTAATATGATTATAACTAAGGTTAACTGAAACAGAAACCATCAAAACTTATCTTCTGTGACCCTATATCTACACTTTTGAAACTGAACTATCAATAAGTTTTTACTAATATTTTCACTTTAAAAAAATAATATTGGTGTAAATACCTACATATTTTTAGTCGAAAAAAATGTTTACTAATTTATATGAATACAGTGAAAACTATCTTGCTAAATAAAATGGAGAAATACAATAAATATTCTAGTTCTACAAAAATTAAGTGCTCTAGTTGACTACAAATTAGATACGAGTATTATTTAATATAAAATTTAAAGTCAAATTCAATTTTTCCATTTTATTAAATAAAGCAAAAAACTGCTAAGTTGGAATTTTTGGTTGGTTCCATCCAATTCACTCTTTTGACAGTTTTCACTGTATATGAAAATAAATATCAAATATACATGAACAGAATCAGCATGTGATTATAACTTTATTTATTTATATCTAACTTACTTTACGCTTGCCAAGTGGAACAGGCTTAAATACTTTATGTTGTTGTGCATGAGATAATGATGAATGAAGAAGCAAGATGGAACAGTTTTGAGCTAGATCAAATTTAATTCATAAACTAATGATTAGATCTAAATTAATAAATTATGTGCATGATAAATGAAAAAACTAGGGCACAAATGTTGATGACTTTTGCATATTATTTTGGAACAACATATACGATGGTGCTTTCCTAGCTTAAAATATGTTTCAATAAAATAGAAATGTATACAACTAATTTTTGTTTTACATTTTAGGTCATTTTTTTTTTTAAATTTTAGTGCATTTTTACATAATTTTTAACAATTATGAGAAAAATTATGAGTTATTTATTTATCATTGTTATATTTTTATTAATTATGATTTCTCAGATAACTAGGGAAAAATAATCAGATGGTTTCCCGTTGCCTTTTGATGGAATTTTAAATTTGGAAATGCCTTCTCCTATGCTTTGAGGATCCCTCCTCAGTATGCAAGGCAGCATGTTAAAAGTATTGTCAATTATAAGGTGAGTTACATCACCCCACAACAATACCTTTTTCCTACTGGAATCACCCGCCTGGGGCTTTCCGCCAGTAAGAGCTCGGGTCCCCGGGTACGTTAAACCCATAGCACTATAAATACCCCTTAGGTAAAAAGTAAGAAAATTGGGGCATTAGAAAAGTGATTGTACCGTCGTATTTTAAGTTAAAGTAGGTTAAATATAACAAAAATTGAACTATTTCAATCATCGTCAGAAAGAGAAGCATTATTCAGTATGGTTCTCAACATCCGAAACGGATAGGAACGTCAAGAAGAAGAATAATTTTATATTTTCCACTAATCGAAATAAAAACCACAACTTTATTATTTTTACGTATCACATATTATTATGTTTATAAATTGTAAATCAATATATAATTTTATTAATTGTTTTATGAGTGGTTTTTAAGTATTTAGGTAATTATAAATGAACATATTATACAATTTGTATTTGGCATCAACATCCGGCCACTAGATACTAACTGAATAAATAAAACTTTTTCTTATATTTCTTAATACTTAGCTATTGATAGTCAGTCAGTGGAGTATATAGGGGTGGAGGTTCAAACACCCTCTCCCTTCCCAAAATATATTGTTAGTACAGTATTTTATTACAGAAATTAATTTATAATGTTAATTTTTTTTTTTTTTATTGAACAAAATTTATATTTACAATGTGTATTTACAAGTAGTACAATAAGTAAATGGGATGTGGTTTGATTGGCAGGAGGGGGAAGTCACCCAATGGTGGCAACCCGTAGAATAGTATTAATACATTTTTTTTTAAAGCCCCCCCCTCACGAAATTAATAACTATATACGCCACTGGTCTAAGCCCTCAAATATAAATAAAAAATATAAAATTCATAAAAAAATATTGTTAACCACATCATACATAAGTAGATAGTATAAACAGCTTTCACTTAGGTTATTTTTTGATTCACTACCTATTATTCATAGTTATACCAAAAGAAAAAAGTATTTTACCAATTGTCTCATTCTGTTGTAAATGATTATTGAGTTCTGAAATCCAAGCCCATCCAGGTAAAAATATTAAGACAGCACCTTTTATTTTTAAATTATTTTCAATATGTGTCAACAACAGCTACAATTATAATAGTTATTAATTAGTTTTAAATAGTTACTTACAAAATATAGATAAATCTTACTTCAATCATTTTTAAATGTTGACTTTCCTCACTGATATTTGCAACTCTATCTTTAACTTTTGGGGAATATTCATTAGAAACTACTAAATTACAATTAACTATGGTTTGAATATTTTTTTTCTTTGCAATTTTAATTTCTTCTAAAGATGGTTTATAGTCTAACATTTCAACAATATCTTCTAAGAAAAAATCTACAACCAAATAAGTTGAAATAAAATTATACAATTTTTAATAAAAATAAATCTTGAAAAATTATATAATAAATCATTTAACAGTTAACACTTAATAATATGAAATGCATTTTGCCATGCACAACATTGTATTAACCTGGAATACTATTTAAACTCTTGAACCTATGTATGCTACATAAAATTAAATTTTTTTAAATTTAAATTTCGAGATCTTGGTATATGATCTAATTATTTAATTTTAAAATAATGAGATCCAGGGTTTTCTAAGGTTGTACAGTTACCAACAAATTATATTAAAAAATACAGGCACGTAATAGTATGTTTAGAGCATCAGTAAATAGTGTAAAAGTTTTAGATGTATAAGTACTTCTGGAGCAGATAAAGGGTTAAAAGGACGCTCTCCTTGCATTTGTTAACTCGTCTTATGAGTGAGTAACATGACAAATATTTTATGCTCAGCAGTTCATGTTTAGTTTCATTAGTTTAAAAATGAGAATGAATCAATCTAGACTAGTGCCATTGAAAGAGCGCTACTCGTTGGCGCATCCAAATGACCGAGATCCGCGTTTCCGTACTCAAATTTCTCTCACTCTACCATATAGTTGTAGTAACGATGGTGGCGGCGGCCAAATTTAGTGGTGGGGATGAGCGAGATCTTACGAGTTTTGGGCGCCGCCCAGAAGCGCTCTCTCAATGGCACTAGTATATCATGAAACTTAATGGTATGAACATTATCTGTGTTTTAAGTTAGTTCTTTGGGATAAATCAGTTTTTAAGTGAGTGATGAGCATTTTTAAATTGCACTATTTTATTCATGTAAAACTTGCTAAAAAATTTACCTAATTATCGTAAAAAATTACATAAAAACACAGGTAATGTTCTTACCAGTTTCACAATAGGTCAATCCACTCTGGTTTTTTTACTAACAAACCCAAAATCTGAACTTCTGAGCATAAATTGTCTATATTATGCACTTGTAAGATGAAACAACAGATGAGGATTTAGTATCCTTTTAACAGTGATGAGTAATATTTATTATTTCCAGGTACAAACATATTAATTATAAGTCACAACTCTTAATACAATGAAATAATACAAAATATTAAATTAATCAAAAACTTTGAAAACAAAATGGTTTCTATTTTATTAAATAAAAAAATTTACTTAATGGCAGCAAAAGGTAAATTATTTAATATGTAACCTTAACCTTTTACAGGGTAGCAATTTCCTTCCACGTCAATAATTGGACAGTTGTTGAAATATTTACTGAATATATTTAAATTTGCATTTGCAGACATGAGAATAACTTTAAGATCTAGATATTTTTGCACCATGTCCTTCAGAATAATCAACAACAGTTCACAGCCAGCACGCCGTTCGTGTATCTCATCCACAACAACATGTGTTACACCAAACAAACCAGTCTTTAATTTCCGTATCAAAATTTCTAAAAATAAAATAATTAATTAATTAATATTTCTTAACATACTTATAATTAGGACTAGGAACAATCTATTTTTTTTTCTATTTTTTTTTCATAATACATATATTTGAAATCTAACAAGAAATAAAATCACTTTATGATTGTGACACTCCACATACTTAGAATTATGATTCAAATGCATATTATATTTGAAGGAAGTTTAAATTTTAATGGTAAGTATAATTTGAATATTAAAAAATGTTAAGATAATTTTTTGTTTTAAAAAATACATTTAAAAAAGGTAAAATTAAAATAAAACTGCACAAGTACTCAAGTATTTTAGATTCTGAGTGGAACGACGAATGTATTGATTTTACATTGATGTGTGTTTTTTTTTTATTTTTTATTTTTGTGTCTGTGTACACGATAAGTGGTCAAAATAATGCTTCGATTTTCAACTTCAGTGTCTTGTTCCATTGGAAAATGAATATCGTTGGTGCATTGGGGAGGTCAAAATTTAAATTCGCAGTAATTTTCAAAAGTGAAAAGAAAAACAAAAGAAAAATTAAGGAAAAACAAAAATTTTTAAGCAAAATCAATTTTTCACATTTTTGGTGGTAACTTTAAAACAAATGACCGTAGTTACATGAAATTTTCACTGGTTGTTTATATTTGCATTTTCTATACACGATAAGATTTTCAAAATATTTCGATTTATTTTGAACTGTTTAGGGACATTTTCATTTTCCATTTTTTTTAGTTTTTTTTCTAAAAATATCAATAAAATTTTATTTGTTGGTTAAAAAAGTTTGAAAATGTAATAAAAGGCTCCTAGTATATTGTTTCAAAGGTAGATGAAAAATATTAAAAATCCTTAGTCAGTTTTTTTATAAGTATTTAAAGTTCAAAAACTGACAAAATATGGAAAACTCACGAAAATTAGCAAATTATTTTGAGTTAAGAATTCGTAAAAATTTTTCTTTTAAATCTAAGATTTTAAAATGTAATACAAGATTCCTTATAAGATTATCTACCTTTATCAAAAAAAAAAAAAATGTTTATAAGAAAGTCAAATTAAATTTTTATGAGTGTTTGAAATTCAATTTTTACAACATTGGATATTATTCACTCGATTTCTTTAATGAAAATTTCGGGGAATGTTTAAATTAGCATTTCCTATACACCTTACAATTTTGAAAATATTTTGATTATTTTTGAGCTGTTTACGGACATTTACAGCTTTCATTTTTTTTAGTTTTTTTTTCTATAAATATCAATCAAGTTTTATCTGCTAGGACATAAAGTGTGAAAATTTAACACAAGGCTCCTGATATATTGTTACAATAGCAGTTGAAAAATATTAAAAATACATGGGCACAATTTTTTTTTATAAGCATTTTAAGATCGATTTTTTGACAAAATTTATCAAATTTAAAATTGAATAACTATTTTGTAGTTAAAAATGTTCAACTTTTATATTGAAGGATTGAAAATTTAAAACAAGATTCCATGTAAGTAATTCTGTTACCGAAAAAATCTAAAAAATAGTAAATACATAAGCACAATTTATTTTTATAGCCATTTTAAGTTCAAATTTGGACGAAATTACATATTAAAAAACCTAGAATAACTTTTTTAGCTATTTGGTTGTGATTGTTTAATATTATTCGTGGGTACTTGAAACTTCTAAATTGTACTATTATATATTATCTATGATAGTATCACGGTTTGTTATTGATGTATAACGCGTTATAAGTACCTAATGGATATTGTGATATGATTAATTTGGAATTTATTATAGGTACTTATTATAGGAATTTTTTTTTAAATACCATAGATATGTATATAATATATCTTAGGTATACCTAGACTGACATACCGTTTCCGCTCAGAATCGTTTTCCTTATACAATGATATTATATCATTGAATTCAAATTTAATACCATCCATTATACAGTGACCCACTTGTAACCTACTGTACAGCAGATTTAAGTGTGTTTTAGTTTTGGACTCAAGCTTTAAATATGATTAATATCATTAATATCATTTACCAACTGTACAGAATAGAATCGCTCCAAAAGACTGCGGTACCATACTATCAAATCTAACTGTATATCCAACACTTTTCCCAATAGCTTCAGCTCTTTCAAAACTCACTCGGTTTGCAATAGAGATGGCTGATACCTTTCTAGGTTGAGTGCAGATAATGTTACAATTTGCTCCTTTATTTGCGTCAATAAACTCTTCAAGTATGAATTGACAAACCTATTTGTTTTAACAATTATATGAAAAACAGATATTAAAAAATTCAAGACATTCAGTTAACTGACCTGAGTGGTTTTTCCACAACCAGTACCTCCATGTACAATAATTACAGAATTGTCTCTAATTGTATTCAAAATAGCATTCTTTTTTTTGAATATTGGCAAACTAGATCTGTCTTTTATCCTTTTTTGAAATGTAAGTGAATGTTTTTTTTTTTCATCAAATTCTCTCTTTATCTTACAACTTATATCAAATAAAGATTTCTATAAATATAATATTTAAAACGTTATAATACATTTGTAAACTAAATAATATGTTAAAAATATCTAACTATGTTTCTCAGTAAAAATAAAAACTACCAACAACAAATTAGCAAAATTGACAGCACTTACAGGATTATAAATCTTAACAGCTAACCACGGATTCCAATTTGACTGAGGAGGGCCCCATCGTACCACTTTAGAAGCATTAAATTGATATAAAGGTACAATTGGTTCAACAACCTTGTCAAGAAGCAATGTTGTATTATTTAAAATGCCAGCATAATTCTAACATAATTGATGATGACAAACATTACAATACATTAAATTTGAATAAAATTAAAATGTAATAATTATTACCTCATCAATCATTGGCTTAATCTTAAGATCTTTTAATAAGCCATATAAATTTTTCACCAGTTTTCCATTAACATTGACATCATTCAACAAATTACGGATACAATTTAGTTTATATTTTTTCACTCTATCACTTGAGTAAGGTTCAATTAACCCTAATGTACATAAATTATTAACTAAAGTAAGTTCGCATTGTTGTATTACATTTTTCTTTGATTTTCCGATTTCACAAGTAGAAATTGCTAAATTAAAAAAATTACTTGATAAGACAATGGAACTTAAGTATACTTAAATTTTTTAATTTACTTTTATTTAGTTGTTCAATAAATATTGACATGCTAACAACAAAACTCCTAAAACAAATTAATATTTGATAAAACAATAGCATATAACTAGGGTTCGGATTTGAAGGCAAATGCCTTTCTTTTATTAATCATAATTGGAAAATAATATTTATACAAAAATGTGTTTCATTTAATTTCTTAGAGGATGGATCTTTTTTTTTTTTGGCTTTTTTTGCCTTTTTACTTATAAATGCCTTTTTTTTACCTTTTGTTCTTATCAATGCCTATTTTGTGATTAATTTTTCAGTTGATTTTAAAATTTTATACACAGCTTGCGTATTATCGTTACAAATGGGTTTTATTATTCGCAATATTTATCGATATCGTCTTATCGAGTATTTGGTATGGCCATAAAATTACCCGTACACCGTTTTAAAGATTAAGATATGTTCGTAATGCGTAGATATCGTTTTCGATGTACCAAAATATTTTAACCCCTAACCGTAGCCGTTTTTCTGAAGACAGCTTATCAAAATACATAATAGTCAATTTTTTTTTTATACCAACTAGTTTATTTTGCATTAAATTAACTGGTATAACTCAAGTAAGTTAATATTTAAAATTGTTTTAACTAATTCTTAGGACAAACCTGGTTAAAGAAAAAGGTACCTAATCTATTTATACAAAATAGCATAAACTTAATGTAGTTTAGTATTCATGCTCATTTTTAATTTGTATTTTTCTCAAAATGTGTGCATTTAAAAGTGTTTAAAAAATGTTCACTATTTTATTTTGTAGTATATTTATGAATTGCCTTTTTATATAAATTAAATGCCTTTTTTTGCCTTTTTTTACATTTTAAATGCTTTTTTTATTGATTATATTGCCTTCAAATCCGAACCCTACATATAACTTAAAAAAAGTTCCTTGTCAGAACATTAATTTGCTGATACATTTTAAATATAATTTTAAAAAAAAATGAACTAGAAGTAAATTTACTTTCCAATAGTTGCAATATTTGACTTAAGATTTGCTTTATCATTAGATTGAATGTATTGTTGTAATCTCTTATAAGCAGTATCAATTGTCCAATTACCACAAACAACTGGTTCCAAACTATTTTGCTATGAAGAAAAAAATATTTTGGAATTAAAAAATTATGTTTAATACTTTTATCCTTGCCTATATACAATATACTAAAACAATCCTACCTAATGTTTATATTCTTATATTAACCTACCTTTTTATTTTTAGTTGAATCTATTTTAGAGTCCTCAATTTTCTTTTCTTTTTTTTTCTAATTAAACAAATATAATTAATACAAATTAACTCATACAATATTACAAATAAAGAATTTTTTATTACCTTTGAAATAGCCGATATTTCATTTTTATCTGCTAAATATAATAAGATATCTTTTAATGCTTTTTGTCGAGCAATTTCTTCAGTTTTTGCATTTCCAACTCCTATGTAGGCATAAGTAGGTACTCTGATTTCAAATTTTACATTTTGATCTTCATTAATATCTAATAAAAACCAACAGATATTCAGTAGTTTATAAACATTTAATTTACATTACAATTTATATATTTTAAAAATGTTATTTCTTTTATGATTATGTTATTATTCAAAAAAAAAAAAACACCCTTATAAAATAACTTAATTATAAATAATTGCATTGAAGTTAATTATAAATAAATTTAAAAATAATAAAAAGAGTGCAAGAAAAAAACAGTACTTCTTTAAATACCTATTTACCTATAAAAATTAATTTTATTAAGTAGTAGGTAAGTACCTACTACCTAGTACCATTTTTTATTCCTTAAAATTTAGAAGTGACCTACAATATTAATACATAGATTTAATAATTTTATACTGCAATTATATTTGAAATTTGAATACAATATATCCAGGTGTAAATTGGCAAATTTGAAAATCGGGGACTTTACCTATTGAGTACTATTAATGTTTTACGACAAAAACAACTTTTTGTTAGAAGCTTAATGTTTTTATGTTTATGTTAGCCCGTGTTTCCAAATAGGTAAAACCTATTAATTATAATGATTTAACAAAGGATTGAAAAGTAAAAGTAAATTACTTCACCAGTTTACAGGGAGCTTAACTTAAAGACGTGTTGTATATTTATCATTGCATTTATCACGATTTATCACTTAGGTATTTCTCTCTAGTACAAAATATCAGCCACACAGTGGTCAGTGAATAAGAACTAGAATTTTCTGAAGCAGTATATAATATATTGTGTATTTTGGTACTTATAAAAATTGAATCCCAAACAATGTTTAATTAATTATTACCTACCAACCTATTTAGCTATCTAACTATTCTGTGACATTTACTAAATACATTTCACCCTACTTCAGTGGCCAAATCAAGTCCAAAATCTTAAAAATACACTAGTATGGTATCCAATTTCACTAACAAGGTTATAAAAAAATATAAGAGGACTGAAGACCTCCTGAGAATTTCTCCTATTAGAATCTCTGTTGAGCAACTAAACTTAATTTTAAATATCAGTTATCTACTCACGCCTTTGAAATTAGATTTTTACAGTAAATAAATGTACTTATCTGTTGTCATTTTAAAAAGCAAGTTTTAAAAATAATAACAATAAAAAGAAGTAAAAATATAATTTTTTTTTCAAAAAAAGCTAACCATCCAAGTATATGTCAACAAATATTTTTAAAAACTTATATTGTTATACCTGATCAAGTATTCTTTTTCTAGAGATAATGAGTGTTTTATGTCAAAAGAATAAGAAAAAAAGGCAATAGGTACACTAAAAAGCAATAAAATATAAATGAATAAATATTGTGTGCATTCCAAATTATATGTGGAATTTATGGATACAATTTTTATACCCATAACTCACTTAAAAATTAAAATATCGTAAAAAACCAACGAGAGAACACAGATACTGTTCTTACCTAAAAGTTTCATAATAGGTCAATTCACTTTAATATAAAAACTGACAATACCCTTTGGACACATGCGGGTGCGATATCCTCTTAATAGAAGTTCTGTACCTAATACCTATCTATCTGTTTACCAAACATCTATGTTCTATATGAATTAATAATAGTACCTAATAATAATAATATAATTGTAATTTAGTATATTATGTGTTGTAGAATACCAGTTATTTTGTACTGTGGTTTCAAGTTGTTTTTTGAACACCAATTCATGAAGACATCATACAGCTTGTCCACTGTCGAAGAATGTGCAGTCGTAGTAATTTCAGTGGATAGTTTAGCCATAGCAGACGCCAAGTCCGTCATATTGAACAATATACACCTTTAAACTAGGTATGTACACTTTTGTATCGAACTAAAGTGCAATACCGAAACAGAACGATCGAAATATTAAACGACGAACTTAGTAATTATAATATAATATTTCACCAATAATAACGTATTTCTTTGGAGCCGTGATCGATAATCGGTAGTTTGACGAAATCGAAAAGATTCGATCGCAATTCGCAACACCGACTGGTAGAGTACTAACACGGCACAAATTAATAACGTACTCTACTGATAATAGTAATACTACAACTAATGTGACATTAGTTTTGTAGCATAGATTAATGATTATATGGTTATTTTATGATTATTAATCTGTGATTGTAGTATTCACCATGTAGCACGGATTAATATTAATCCGTGGTATAACGCAGTCCTGTAGATATTGTTGGAAATTACCCGCAAAACGAGTAAATAAAACAATTTTCGATCTATATATAATATTACGAATATAAATTATAAGCACATAATATACAGGTACCAACGTACTGATGTAAATAATGTAATCTATAGTGGACTCCACGAAAAATGTTACATACAATTTATTGTATCGCTGTGGGTGGGAAAACGACGGCTAAATAAAATAAATTTAGAATGACAGAAAGGCCTGAAATAAAGACGATGTCCGATGTCCGGTTTGTTGTTTGTCATTCACTACGAATATTGAATAATAAAAATAGTTAGCACTCAACAATAATACTTATTAACACGGTCTTAGATAATAATATTAATCATTAATTAATAATTATTATAATATCCAATATCTATGAACATTACTCATTAGAATTCATGATTAACGCCGGTCGGTCAATTGTTGTGCCTCTCGCAGTCTCTTCAAAATATCATAGATATTAGATAAATAATAATATGATTATATTATATTATATATTAATTACCCAAACCTAGAGAGCCTATATTTATAATAAAGATTAGTATTGTACTATTGTCTTGTCTCTATAGTAGTTAGCCAATACAAATCTTGGAAATTGGAATGCAAAGTGCAAACGCTGACGCTGCGAATAATTTTCGAGACCAGTGTAACCGTTAATCAGGGTTGCCACACGTCTTTCAAACAGTTATTCGCGTACTGTGGCCATACAATTCTCGTGTTTACTATTTTCATTGAAATTCTCGATCACTAAAAAAAAACGCTCGCTATGCTTGCGTTTTAATCACGATCACGATTCATGATTTAAGATATCTTAAATCGAGGTTTTAATTAAAAAGAACAGGATTCTCAACGACACTGATCCATAGACTATAAACAAATGAACAGTACCGATTTAAATATAAAATGTAAGTGTAACCAAACTTAGGGGATATTCGAGAAAAATTAAAAAACAATTAAATTTATTTACGACTCCGAAAGTTTTAGATAATAGGTAGTCAACAATATTATTAATGATTCCAGAAATTAATATTTATACATTTTGCTCATGTAGGTATCGACCTATGTCATATTACTCATATTATTATACTTATATAAGTTATACTGCATACAATACTAAAAAAAAGCAGTAGGTAATCATAGAATATTAAGAACAGTATTTATAATGTATTAAAATTAAATTGTTCATGGCAGTTTTTTATCCAAAACCTAAGCACAAACAGCAAAGTTTAAATTCTTTATCAGAATTAAAGTAAAAAGCAACACTGTTACATGTACTGTGTAGTGTGTACGACTTAAAGGCTCTTTAACTATATTATGATTGTGAGTGAAAAGGTACAAGTGGTAGAACTAAAAAAGAGTAGTGGAACGAGTATTAAAAGTGGAAAAATGCTATCTTACCTTATCAAGTGTTGTATGCGCTAACTAATTACATAATAAAAATAATAGATAGTTTAATATTTGTAATAATAGGCCAATGGAGTAAATGAGCCGAGGCAGCACTTTGTAAAATAATATTTAAGGAGTAAGCATCGCGGTAGGAGGACAGTGCGGGTCCTCGAACGAGGCCCGTTTGTTAGCGATCCATAGAGACTGTATATATACTCTTTTTCACGAGAGAAAGGTAGCGGCGGCCGACCAAAACGGGTCCGCCGCCGCGCATCCCCCACCAACTATCAGTGGTAAGCGTGATCATGTGGTCGTTCACGCACCAATCGAATCATTTTACATGCGCGAAACGGTACCGTTCTCTCGTGAAATAGAGTATAGTATTTTGTGTGTTTGTTTATGTTTATGTATAATAAAGTTATTCAATAGTGAATTGTTATCTATTGTTTTGTGTTCCATCGAGGAATGTGGGGACCAACGTCATTCTTAATCCACTATCCAAATTTCTTTTTAACATTTGTGTTTTTGTTTGTTTGTGTTCTGGTTTAATTACAAGTAATTTTTTCGTGTGTTTTACACATCGCGTTTTTGAAATTTTTCATTCAGTTTTAACTTTCACTGCAGGAAGACTTCGAGCAATTGGGCCCATAATTTTGGTGTTTGTTTTACACACTCGAGGTGAATATTGGTGTATGGTTATATTTTGTATGTATGAGATCTATATTTTACGATTTTTTTTTGTTTACCAATTTTTTTTAGTGTTAATTAATTTATATTTTAATTTGAAAAGGAGTAATAATTATTTAATTAGGTTTTTTTTACATAATAATATAATAAATCTAGTCGTATACATTATCTGATCAAACACTCCCTGCAATAATTGAAGGGGTCAGTGGATAAAGGTCATAACTCACAATTTTGAAATTATTTAAGAGGACAGTTTTTGTGGTTTAATTATATAAACGTTTGGAACTTTTTAACTGTTCAAATGCTAAGAAATCTTAGAAAACAAATATTATGTATTTTAAATTTATAAACAATACTCTGAAATTATAAATTGTTTCTGTTAATATGATAATAGGGGATATAATACAATAACATCTTGATCCACAAAACAAGAACCACAGATTGTATAAATAACACATTTATCAATTTGATATCTTCATAAATATATGTTATTTTGTTCTGATATTTGTATAGACTATGTAATACGTTATGATGGGTCATTTTGTATAATAATAACGATTTTAAAAAAAATTTCAGTTAACACCTTTATCCACTGACCCCTTACATTTTTTCTTACAATAAAATTAATAAAACGTCATTATAGTTTAAATTTTTCACGGTCTAAAAAATGTTATAATATAAGTATATAATTTTAGTTAAAAGTAATTAATTTAAATTAAACACATTTAATATGCCCAAGTAGAGATTTAGGATTATTTAATTATTTTTTTTCAATTTTATAGTTTAATGATTCTGAAATACCCTAAATTAGATCTTTCAGTTACGATAAACGTGGTAACAAATATCTACACTCTCAAAAAACAATGTCTTATAATATTACGAAAATAAAAATAAAAAATCTACAGGAAATAAATTTTCACAAATAATCAAACTAATCCTAATTTAAATACAAATTCTATTTTACACCCTCAAAATACACCGAATAATGTGATTAGCCGGAAACGACTTAAATAATAATAGTGTGTGTAATGAATAGTTTGTAATACATTTGTAGAATATTGTACTGACATTCAAATTGTTTGTTAGTTCGCAGTTCGGTTGTTATTAATTAATCCAAAAAATGAATGTAAGTTAGCCAGATCGATAGATCATCGTTTGTAGTATTGTTTTTATCCGGAAAAAAGATTTGTGAGTGAATTTATTAATTAATATCAAATAAAAAAAAATTAAGAGGTACAAGCGTTGCGAGGTAAGTGGTGGTCGTGAGCCGCGTAGTTAGTTAAGTGACTTTTTTGCTGCGAATAAATATTATATAAACGTTGCAAAATAAAAAACAGATTCATCTATCTTGGCCCATAATAATGAATATGAATAATTAATGATCGATTATTCTAACATCTATACAGAGAGCCCAATATCAGTTAGCATCTAGTATATTTAATTAATTGTTATTAATTGATTAATTCACTCACAAACCATTTTCCTTGATAAAAACAATACTACAAACAATAATCTATCGATCTGTCGAATAAAAATAAAAAATAATAAAAGTATCAATAATAAATAATTCCGGATAACTTCCTATAATTTTTTAATTAATTAATATTAACTCCCGTGTACCTTTCAAAAGAAGTTTCCGCTCGTGTACTGGCAACACACATACTTTAATGATTAATCCTAATAATTTCACTGGGACTGAGGACGTAAGGAATTTTTTTAAACAATATAGTAAGGTTAGTGAAATTAATGAATGGAATGAAAGCGACAAATTAAAATTCCTTTCAATTTATGTAAAAGGCACAGCCAGTACCTTTTTAGAAATCCTTGAAAACCAAAAAGAAAGTTGGTGATGGAAAGAATTAGAGGACACCGTTTTAAATTAATTTCAATCCATAGGACACTACACGGCATTAAAAATTAAACTAGGGAAACGTATAGACAAAATGATAATGAATCTACCACAAGTTTCTTCATTGAGATAAAAATATTATGTAGGCAGATAAATAGGAACATGAGTGAAGAAGATATTCATATTTTGTGAATATTTTAAAAGGTTTAAAGGATAACATTTTACAATTAATTTCGATGCAGGACAATAATATAGCTTAAAAAACATCAAAGAAATTATTGATCTCATGGAGTTCAGGATAAAAAATAAAAAGGTGATATAAGTGAATATACACAAATTCTAAATGAACAGATATTACAATTAAATCTATAAACAAGAGACATAGAAAAAGAGAACGATGAATTTAGAAAACAGAAGGCAATTAGAGGGCAGATATCGAGTATATAATATTGTGTTCAAATATATAATTGTTAAATATGTAATACTTATATTATCTCGGGTGTATACTATGCCAAAAATCTATGTAAATACTAATGGTTAAAATGAGGGGTACATGTATAAAATACAAACATAAATAATATTATATCGTTTTAAACAGGTACTTCACGGCTCACGCGAGTATAAAGTGTTGCCCGGCGTATAGTATATGCAAAATAGGTACATTAC